CACGCAGGAAGTAAGTCTCTAGCAGAGCTGGAAATTGAATCCACACCTTTGAGTCCAAGTCCAGTGCCTTAACCACAAGGCCATCCTGAAATGTGAAATAATCTCTCAAGGGAAGTAGTGACAGAAGCCCCATCAACAACTGGACATTTTAAAGTAGAATTTAAAAATCAGAATTTTTTTCTAGGGAACCATCTTGAATGGTTTGGGAGACAGAGAGGACTAGACAGCTCAATTGATCTGTTCCATCTGCCACTGCTCTGATTCTGTGAACTAGTTCTGGAGCATGCAAGTTCTGGCATCTTTACTTTTTTTTTTTTTTTTAACTGAAGAGAATTTGCTGCCTTCTTTACCATTTTGTTGTCGGCTTCAGGACTACTGTAATTTCCTTGAAAAACTGTATATGAATGCTTCTACACTTTCCACAGTATGCATCCGATGAAGTGAGCTGTAGCTCACGAAAGCTTATGCTCAAATAAATTGGTTAGTCGCTAAGGTGCCACAAGTACTCCTTTTCTTTTTGCGAATACAGACTAACACGGCTGTTACTCTGAAACCTGTATATGAATGTGGTAATATATAATTTCACCACTTGGTGGCATCAGACAAATTTTAAAAGGGCAATTCTTATGTTTAAAAAAGGAACCAACTCAGCTTGTTCTGCACTTCTTACAGTTTTGAGCAGAAAAGCCAGCCCTAATGCATTTTCAGCATCTGATAAATTGCTTCATTATTCACTGTTGTCTAAAACACTGAAATATTTCAGTATTACTATAAATAACAAATAAAGTCCTGATGCAGGAAATCAGTAGTTTAGGACTATATTCTCAGTGTAATATGCAGGCTTTATCTACAACTCATTGATAGTAGGGAGTTTCTCAGCTGAAGTCATGTCAGTTGTGCTGAATACATCTGTACATCATAGCTGCCAACTCCAAGATATATTAATAACTAGTTTCTGCAAGTATTAAGCAATAGTTTGAATCAGTCACCTTACTAAAGTAGATTATTTCCACACAGGGGGAGGAGGAGACATGCTACTTTTGGTAGTAGAATCAAGGTACATTATTGCATTCTACATATTTAGTTTCACAATGATCTCTCTAGTTCACTGACTCCTTGTCTTAAAGAGATTCCTATCTGGGTTCCCTGTAGGGAGAGATGTTCTCAGTTCAGTGGCCATGAGAATCGCCATATTGATTTCTCCTCCATTAACACTAAACTATTCCAACACTGAGCTACACTAATACTGGTATAGATTCTTCCCTTTGTCTTTTCTGAGTGTGTCATAAGAATCTGATATTTCTTGAAGTTTTATTAGACCTGCGAGGAATGAATCTGTTTAGCTGACATCTGGATGATAACCTCCTAGTCTTTCCACTGAAAATATAGGAATTGCTAGAGGCTTCTTTAAATTCAGTATCTATCCTCTGGTCTGCCATAGCCGTCTTTCTGTGGTTTATCCACCTCCTAATTTTTTGTCTGTCCCTGCACATATTGCATTCCCTAATTATATCCTGTTGTGTGTTTGAGAGGAGGGGGATATTGATACTTGTCCAAATGACCAGCATTTTTTCCTCTTCCATTTCAAACAAAACTATCTGCTACAACATTTGGATATTTCATCTGGGTTAGTTATAAAAATTGAATGATCTATTGGCTTCGGTCCCCAGCTGATACAGTAATCTATGCAAGCACACTAGGAGTCACAAATTATGCAAAGACAGATCCGATATATTTTCCTTTCACAACTGATTCCATCACCTGCCTGCCAGGAAAATGTGCTACTGCAAAGGGATCTATACATGCACGCACATACATGGCGCACGCGCGCACACATGTAGTCTTGCTAATGTGGAGACAAAGTGGGTTAATTTGGCACTGCTCCCCGCCTTCCCTTTCCATGCACAACTGTTTAGTAATTATTAATTTCTTAGATAGTAAGCTCTTTTGGGACAGGGACAAGCTTTGTTCTGTGTTTGTACAGGGTTTTTAACACAAGGGGGTCCTGGTCCATGATTGGAGCTCCTATGTGTTACAGTAATACAAATAATTATTATTTGTACACTGGTGGTGCCCACATCATATTGGGTGCTGTTCACCCACAAAGGAAAACCAGTCCCAGGTCACAATCACCAGTGTTTTAGTCATCTTTACTGTATACCCTCCAAGGACTTTGATGGTCGTGTCATTTTCAGAAACTTTCGCTAATTAAATTAATTTCAGGCTGACTCCAGTTTTTAGACAACATAGCACTTCCTGCTAAAGCCCTTTACCATTCACTTGCAATTTAACTCTTGAATCCAGAAAAAAATTTCAGCATTACAATATACTGTAGTGCTTCTAGCATGCAGGGAGAAATAATGGAGGCATCGCTGTGTCTGGTATCTTTTAGAAGAGAAACACAGCTCTGCTTAAAGATGAATATTCAGATCCATTATTAGTCTTAATTCTTTTAATGTTCCCTTCAAGCCTTTACTACCACCCCACTGGAAAAAAATACTAAAGACCAGGTAGAGATCAGTGGGATATTTTTAGTGTATTTGAAAGTATTACGGTCATGTCTTTCTAGTGCAGGACTGTATTTTTGTACTTAGGAAAGGATGTTAGCTGTTTAATGAAGCAACTTTGAATTATCTGGCAGTGGATGTCAAGATTTCATTCTGACCTTTTTTTTTTTAAATGACTGGTGAAATAGTCTGTAGCAATTAGATAATTGTTTCGTCAAGATATGATTAAGTCTGAATGTGTGTAATTGATGCTTCTTGTAAGCATTAGTGAAGCAGGACTTTCATTAAAGCAAATATAGGATCTTGCTGTTCCCAATATCAGAGTTGGGGGGAAGAAGAGGGAGAAGAGTAGAAAGCAAGTAGATCAACAGAGTGCATGTTATATCTTGATATTTAAAAAGTGTGCTCTCATCTGCCACGTAAATAACTCTATACTTAGACCTTATTTAGTAGCTTACATCTCAAAGTCACTGCTTTTGGCAGTCCAGTCTCTAGCAACTCTGCAGATTCTATAGACTTGAACATTTTCTCCCTGGTTTCCAAGCTTGGTGATCTGTATAGCCTTTAGCCATAGGATACAATTTGTAGGAATTCACGGGGGAGGAGAGGGGGAGAGGGTTGGTGCTACAATAATCTGATAAATGTTCTGGAAAGCATGCTCATTCAGATGGAAGAGCCAATCCTGCAACTAAATGGTGATGTAGCGTAGCTCCAGGCTGCTAGCATCTGCACATTAGTACAACTCAGCCATCGCAGTTTTCTGCAGGAACTGGAGCTTTTGTACTTTAGGCATAAAACCTTTTCTTGATGCACAGTGCAAAACATGAAAGGTTTCAGGTATCTCTTGACACTTAGATATGTAATTCAGCCCAAGAGCAGGACGGACCCTACCATAGGGGCTTTTAGTTTATTTTACAGACTATAACTACTGCAAGAATCTGCAGGTTTTGGTCACTAATTTTCCGAACAAATCGTGAGACATATTTGGGTGAATAAGGATGAACCTTCCAGCATTTAATCTTGCAAGTTTGGATCTGCACCATCCCCAATCCTCAGCTGTTCATCATAGGCTGATGCCCTTTGTGAAAATGACCAGCAGCAGCAGGAAGCTGACTGTGAGGTTTATGAAAACCAATTGGAGCTACTATATAAGATGGAGCATGAGTTCTAGGTTTTTCATTCTCTGGTGCAAAATATTATTTTCAGATGCTCTTTTTTTTTTGTGGGGAGGGAGATGGGGAAGAATAGGCTTTCACTGGAAAATACATTTAGTCCTAAAACCTTGTACCTGATCAGAATTTAAGGTTGTCTCAACACTTCCATTTTAAATCCTGCTTTCCTTTACCTCCTCCTACCCCAACTTGATAGAGGCATAGAGATTTGTTCTGGGTTGCAACTTGGCTTGTGAGGTTTTCTCCCCAGAGGAAATCCACTTGAAGTTATGATTGTAACAAAAAGTAAATACAGGAAAAATTAATTAACTTGTTTAAATTTAATGTTTGTTTTTATTCAGTGAGCACTTCCATGGGTCCGAGTCTAATCAGACTGACATTGGTATAAATCCGTGTAATGCCACTGAAAGCAATTGAGGTACTCAGGGGTATGTGAGGTGGGATATGTGAATCAGGCCCAGGCACCTCAAAAATATTTTCCGACTGGAAATAAGACAAATTTTTAATGGTAGGAATAATTAACCATTGGAACAACTTACTAAGGGTCGCAGTGGATTCTCCATCACTGACCATTTTTAAATCAAGATTGGATGTTTTCCTAAAAGATCTGCTCTAGGAATTATTTGAGGGAAGTCCTATGTGTTATACAAGAGCTCAAACTAGATGAACTCAGTTTAAAAATTAAGTAATCCTTTTCGGTTCCTTTCTGTCCCCTTCATAACATGATTAAGTTATATTCCTCTAGGAGAATGGAAGGACTGGCTAGATCCTTTCTTTGATGAGCATAGATAATGCTTGCTAATACACCTCTACCCCGATATAACGCTGTCCTCGGGAGCCAAAAAATCTTACCGCATTATAGGTGAAACCAAGTTATGTCAAGCTTGCTTTGATCCACCGGAGCGCGCAGCCCAGCCCCACCCCATCCCCCCGGAGCGCTGCTTCACCGCGTTATATCCGAATTCGTGTTATATCGGGTTGCGTTATATCGGAGTAGAAGTGTACTACAAAATCATGGGCGGGGGCGGGGGGGTCAGGTCCCATAGTATCTGACTCATCAAAGTTCAGGTAGGCAGGATAAATTTATAAAAGATTTGCGTATGTTTACCATTCTAATATTAATAAGTTGGGCCTAAGGCATCAAAGTATAGGCAGAGCTTTCATACTGCTGCAGCTACAAAAAGATACACCTTTTTTGTGGGGTGAGGTGATGGTGGTGTTCTTAAATACTGCTGATTGTTTTAAGTTATGCCCTTTGCATCTGTGAGACTTCTGGGAAGAAATTAATTGTAACTGAAGACTCTTCTGTTTTGTCCTTTAGGTTTCGACATAGTCCGAACTGCTGGTACCTGAAAGACTGGACTATCCACAGCTGGATCAGACAGTGCATCAAATATGGTGCACAGGACAAAGCCTTGTACACATTAAAAAACAAGGTGAGGTTTTTAAGAGAAAAGGCAAGATTTTATTTGATCAGCATTAGACAAGTGTAGCTTATTCTGAATTCCTATCATAAGCAAGTCTCCCCATAGACTGCAGTCTTGGATTACATACTTTTGTGGAATTTAAAAATATAGATGGAACAGAGCTTGAAATAAAGCTCTTCCCAGCTTTTTTTTTTTTACTTTTCCCCACTTGATGTCTTTTCCCCCACATGCACTGTGGTAGTGTCCAAAATGTGCTGGCCACTGTACAGACATATGGGAAGACAGTTCCTACCCAATCCTGAAGAAATCTAAAAAGAGGACAGAAAACCACCAATGGTGGAGGAAAGGACATGTCATAGAAACATAGTTATCAGGGTGATAAGCACATGGGGCTCTGATTCTGAACCCTTACATCCATGGCCCAAGTCTGCAAGCATGTGTGTTAGTTCTTTTGTTGATTAAATTTAAACAAATAAACACCACATTATACAAGATGCCTCTCCCATGTTCTAATCACTGTAGCACTTATTAAAATCACAATTCCAAACATAGAGCACTCATGATATTTTTCAATGTGTTTTTCTCTCTCTCCTTTTTAGGTACAATATGGAATTTTCCCAGATAACTTTATCTTCAATATATTATTGGATTATTTTATAAAGAATGAAAATTATGAAGGTAAGAAACCACATATCAGTTATGTCATCAATTTTATGCTTTTCATAACAATGGTACATTGGATTTTTAAAAGTCTTATAGTGAATTAAAACCAAAATTGTTTCTCTTAAAGCCCTTTTTTTCCCTCTGGAGTTTAACATATCTTCCGCCCTGCCCCAATCTACTTTTCCACACGATTACATTTGGTTCCTCTGTTTCCTTTGGTGTCTTTGCATAATTTTGAAACACTTAGGATTCATCAGCTTTCTACCATCTTTAACTTCTCTTCAATCTAAACTACCTTTTCCCCTTGTTTTTGAAGTCAAGCATATTGTATATTATGTGGTGGGGTAAGGGCAGGGAGTATTAATTAGATATCTGAGATAGAATACTCATTTAATAGCAGATTTATTGCAAACAGCTTAATCATGAAGTCATTTACCAGTTTGCTGGTAGATGTGTGCAGGTTCTCCACCTCCCTGAGAGACAGTAGTTGTCTACACCAGGGGTTAGGTCGTAGAACTGTTGCTTAGGGCAATGTAGTTATACCAACATAAAATTGTAGTGTAGACCAGGGCTCAGAGTAGCCTGAATTGTATACGGTAGTTCTCTAGTACTAGGTATAAGGAGGCTGGTTTTTTTTCCTATCTCATTATGACTCTGATTCTGCATCCACTGAAGTCACCGTGAGTTTTGCCAGTGTTTTCAGCCTGTAAATTGTTATTTTATTTTCCTCCATAGATGCTGTGTCAGTAGTTACTGAGATCATGCTTCAGGAAAGCTTTGATGAATTCTCAACACAACTTCTCTCCCTCCATGTCTTATACAAATACCTGGGAACCAAATCAGAATTTACAGTAAGCTCGCTGCACATTAAAACTATCTACAGTGCCTCAGGTTCAAAGGGTTACTGCATCCCCGTGGGGGTACTAAACTAGGTAACACCCATCCAAGTTAACTTAGAAAATGAAGTGATCAGGTGCCAACATTTCAGCTGATTTTATCAGCATAGGAAAAGCAAAATCGGTGTCCCTTTTGTTATCTCTGTCTCTCAAAAGTAGGCTGGGTATTTCTAGATGTTTAGGAGATTAAATGAAGAAGAACCAGAGTTTACGGTGCAGATTAGGCATCGTTTCTTTCTATCTGCAGGATTGACTAGTACTGGGCTCCAAGTCATTTGAAAAATTTTATAAATGCAAATAAAGAAAAGCTATAAAAAGATACATTTACAATTTATTAACTAAACAATGCAGTCTGGGAAGCACCACAGAAAGAGAATGTAAGTGTTACTCACAGGTAGGGATGTTCTTCAGTGGCAATGATGGCGGTAAGGGTCTAGTGCTGTGTAGTTTTTTCACGAGGATTTCTGACACCTGTTGGGTTCTGGAAATATTGGATTCAGTATACAATACTCAGGTTTTTTTAACTAGCTTTGTCTCTTATCACTAAGGCTGCGAGTTTGTCACGGATTCCGTGACTTTCCGTGACTTCTGCAGTGGCTGGTGTGCCTGGCTCAGGGGCAGCTTTGTCTCTTATCACTAAGGCTGCGAGTTTGTCACGGATTCCGTGACTTTCCGTGACTTCTGCAGTGGCTGGTGTGCCTGGCTCAGGCAGCCCCTGTGCCAGTCGCACCAACAGCTGCTGGGGCAGTCTCGGGCCATTGCACCCCCCACATCCTCCCAGCAGCAGAGTTTGGATGTGGGAGGGGACAGGGGATTAGGGCATGGGATGGGGTGAGGTGGGCTCTGGGCAGCGCTTCCCTGGGGGTCTTCCCAAAAGTGGCGACATCCCCCTCACTCAGCTCCTGGGCGGAGCACTTCTTCTTTAAGAAGAGTGCTTAAAGGCCCCATTTTTGTTACTTGAAACATATTCAGTAACATATTAAAAGAAACCACAGATGTCATAAGGTTTTAATCAGTTGGCTAGTAATTTCATATATTTTTCATTGCTGATACCTGTTTGTTCAATTGCCCTATTCTCCTTTCTTCCCTTTCGTCTATAAAAGTCAGTCATTTGAGTTGTCTTTCCTGATTGCATAATCATGAATCTAGGGGAACAAAAATCCCATCCTCTATTTGGGTATATGCAAATCACCTACATACATCGCTTGCACTGTTACCATGACCACAAATGCCAGTCAACATGACAGAATCCATTGTGTGTTTGCTATGCATATTCAGACACCATCAGGTGATAGAATATACACACACAAATGCCATGTCTTGAAAATGTGCCCTTAAATACCTTGTTAATTCAGGATGCTGAATCCCTCTGCTATTGAAAGCCCATGTACTTCAGGAGTCTCTTGGCTCAATTTTTACTCCCCATGAGGATATTAATTTGTTTAATAGTTTTTCAAGGGTGAGGGGGATACACCAAGATACTGGAGTGCAATGCAATAAAACAGAGTTATTGAAGAGTTTAGGGCCCCTTCAATTCACTGTCTTTTACTTTCATTCTCTTTTGTGTTCATAGAAATAATAAAAATGAAGGGTTGGAAGGGACCTTGAGAGGTTATTTAGTCCAACCCCTTGTGTGTGGAGGCAGGACCATGTATGCCTAGACTGTCCCTGACAGGTGTTTGTCTAACCTGTACTTAAAAACCTTCAGTGATGGTTCTATAGCCTCCCTTGGAAGCTCATTTCAGTACTGAACCGTCCTTATTGTTAAAAAGGTTTTCCTAATATCTAACTTAAAACTCCCTTGCAGCAGATTAAGCCAATTACTTCTTGACTTGCCATGAAGAACAGTCAACCACTGTCCTTTTTATAACAGCCTTTAACATATTTGAAGACCGTTATCAGATCCTCTCCCTGCCCCCTCAATCTTCTTTTATCAATACTAAACATGCCTAGTCTTTCCTCACAGGTCAAGTTTTCTAAACCTTCTATCATTTTTTGTTGCTTTCCTCTGGACTTTCTCTAGTTTGTCCACATCTTTCCTAAAGTGAGGTGCCCAAAACTGGACATAGTAGTCCAGCTGAGGCCTCACCAGTGTTGTGTAGAGTGGGACAATTACCTCCTTTGCCTTAGACACAACACTCGCATTACTCAGAATTATATTTGTCTTTTTTGAAGCTGCATCAGATTGTTGACCCACATTCAATTTATGAGCCACTGTAACCCCCTAGATCCTATTCTGTAGTACTACTGTCTAGCCAGTTATTCCCAATTTTGTATTTGTGCATTTGATTTTTCCTTCCTACCTGAAGTACTTTACACTTATCTTTATTGAATTTCATCTTGCTGATTTCAGACCAAATCTCTAATTTATCGAGATCATTTTGAATTCTAATCTTATACTCCAATGTACTTGTAATCCCCCTCCGATTGGTGTCATCCACAAATTTTATTGACATATTCTCCTCTCCTTCATCCAAGCATTAAATGAAAAAATTGAATAGTACTGGACCCAGGACAGACCCCGCTGGGCCCCATTAAATATGGCCTTTCAGTTTGACAGCAAATCATTGATAACTAATTTTTCAACCAATTGTGCATCCACTTCGTAATAATTTCATCTAGATCATATTTACCTAGATTACTTATGAGACTGTCATGAGGGACTGTCAAAACTTTCACTAAAATCAAGATATATCACATCTACTGCTTCACTCCCATCTACTAAACCCAGTAAACCTATCAAAGAAGGAAAGTAGGTTGGTTAGGCTTGATTGGTTCTTGACAAATACATGTTGGTTATTGCTTATCACCCTATTATACTCTAGGTCCTTACAAATTGATTGTTTAATAATTTGTTCCAGGATCAAAGGTAGGCTGAGTGGTCTATAATTTTTTGGGTCCTCTTTGTTCCTCTTTTTAAAGATAGGTACTGTGTTGGCTTTTTCCAGTCTTCTGCGACCTCACCAATCCTCCATGAGTTCTCAAAGATAATTGCTAATGGTACCAAGACTGCATCAGCTAGTTCCTTACCTACGCTAGGATAAATTTAATCAAGCCCTGCTGACTTGAATATATCTAACTTATGTAAATAATCTTTAACCTGTTCTTTTCCTGTTGTGGCTTGTGTTCCTTCCCCTTGTAAATATTAATTGTGTTAAGCATCCACTTACAATTAACTTTTTTTAGAGACAACTGAAGCAAATTGAAAGCAGTCTGTGGCTGACAACTGTTCATCCTCTTTCCCTTAATTCTTTAAGTCTGCTTCTTTGTTTTTGTTCTGCTGAAGGAGAATACTATATGTTTCCCAAGGCCAAACTACTCGTGTGGTTTTAGTATACTTACTAATTTGGCCCCAGTCTCCTAGCCTCAAGGGTGGTCTGGATCTTTACAGACGCTCATACAGTGCTCCTTCCTAAGAGCAGAGCATGTCTCCAGTGAGTCCTAGGGCATTACTAACTAGACCAATTGTGTTGGTACGACGCATTTTGTTTGGTTTTGCCCTAATATTCCTTTCACAATTGTAGATGAGGCATTTCCTCTGCCCAATGATTTCCTACCCTGTTAGCATTCTCTTCACTGTGGTTGTAAGACTCATGCATTTTAATTTCTGGTCCCTTGGCCTGCTCCCACCCCCTTTTTTGCAGGGTGAGGGTGACTGCTTCCATGCATAGACCTGTGCAATTTTGTTTTCTGAATACTATGAATTTCAGAACACCGGGTCAGATCTTCAATTGGTAAATGAAGATAGCTCTGTTGATTTCAACAGAGTTATGCTTAATTATACCAATTAAGGATCTGGGCTACTGAATTTGTATTAATACTGTCTTCCAAGAAGTTACAAATCCTCTTAAATACAAGCTAAGACTGTAACTTTGAGTTTTTGGTAAGGGGTGATTTCCAGTATTACTGACCTATTTAAGGATTTTTTACCTCCCCATGTTATATGATATAAGGCAAGCACATGCTATGTTTGACTGTAGCCATTGTAAATTAATGTTTTATACAAGAAAGACTTAATCTGTTTTGAATTATTTACAGTGGGAAGAGGAAAGAAATCTTGGAGCCTCTCTTCTGCTTACAGGCCTAAAACAGACAAACACTGTGGGTTTTAGCTCCCAGCTGTATGGCTATACATTCCTTGGTAAGTTTGTAAGTTCCTTACGTACCAATATTTGTTTCCTGAACTGTACTCATTGATTTCAATAAAAATAGTCCTATTACATTATTTCTTTGGTATATTAAAATATCGTCATTCACAGACAATAGAATTAGGCTTAAATATTGGGAAAGTTTTGATACAAATACAAACCAGATCTGAGTGATTTTCCATCCATCTTCAGCTTGCGTCAGTCAGGGTGGGGAGGTCACCAGGATGTGAACTAAGAATGGAGTTAACAGATTTAACTGTGAAAATTGTGCCTAAAATTGTCATCAGTTTCACACCTTCCCTTCCCTGTGGGCTTCCCCTTCAGGTTGCCCTGCTACAATGGAATAAGAGGAGGTATTCTTTTAGATGTTTACATTTTATTGGAACTTCAGTGTTTCCAAAGTGAGATAGTTGATATAGGAAGTGCATTTTTCGCAGCATACCAAGTATGCTGGATGTGTGTAAGTAGCACCAGGTGTGGTGTGTTAGGCAATCTTATTTAAATAAATAGCGTTCGATCTGAATTTTTTTGAAATTTCACATCTGTACTTCTTTTAACTTTCATAATTCCTGCGTTTCACAGAAGACTATAAAATGCATAGTGATTTTCTTCCCTCTCCACTGCAAAACTGCCATTTACCTCTGGGTAAACACCTATTTTAGCAGCAAGCTTTACATGATTGCTCCATCATTGTATCAGTTTATTTTAGAAATCTATCAAAGGTAATAAAAACTAGACATGTTTTGAAAATGTAACTTCAAAGTAAAATGTGTAATGGCAGAATAAGGATGTTGATTCTGATTTAACCAGACTGTAAGAAAAAATTGCACACTCAATCAAAAGGGAGATAAAAGTTGTAAGTAAATTTGAAAACAAGTTTTCCATGGGGCTGTTAGTTTACCATCCCTTCGATATATTGTTACAGATAGATTTTTGCTGTTTGGTCGGCATTCAGATTTGTTATGCCATATAGATTGGCTGGGAAGTGGTTCTATTTAGAAAATGTACTTTACTGTTGTCTGTGAGGAATAGTCCTCATCCCATTACATTGACATTCAGTGGATCAAAAGCTATTTACTGCAATGTCACGTATTCTACAATCTTGCCAACACTAACAGAACAGACCTCTGCAAGAGTGAAAGATGTCTCTAGGCATAGCCTGACCTGGAGCACTTTAGCAATTTAAATTTAGCCATAGTCCAATAAGCTTTGTCTGTGCATTTGTTACAGTGCTTTTCCTAAATCATCCTCCTCCATGTAAGAAAAGTGTGTGTTTTAATTGCTTGCATTGTCAGAGCCATAATTTTAACTAAGTTGGACAATTAAAGGTTATATGAACTCCAGTAAGCGAGGTAAGGCTGGATCAAAAGGGTATAACAAAAATACACCATTAGTTACCACGGTGAGAGTCAAGAGCTTAGACTGGTTACTATTGTAAGTCAGCATTTACCGACATATAATCACACTGTGGAATGTTGATCTTCATTTCTCTATATGTAGAATAGATGTTTCATGTTTTATAATGTGTTAACTCTTGGTACATCGGCCAGATTTCTAGAGGTGCTGAGCACCTAATACACCAGTGAAAGTCATTGGGAGTTGTGGTGCTCAACATTCCCAGAAATGAGGCTTAACGAGTCAAGTTGGGCACCCAAATGAAGGCCTCTGCTGAAAAGTTTGGCCTAACAGCTGTCTTAGTTTCTCCAGCTGCAAGACAGATGTTAATCCTTACCTAGCTCACTAGGGTGCGGTAAGGCGAAATTAGTAAATGTTTGTAAGGCTCTGGAGCAAGTTATTATTTCCTTAGATACTACAAGAGTTACTTTCACGTTTTTAGTGCAGCCCTTTGTCATTCCTTATCTCAGGGCTCAAACAGTAAAGTATTAACTCTTAGATATTATTGTACAACAGGAAAAGTGGAGTTGCACAAAGGACTGCGAGCTGTGTACCATCAAATGCCACTGATGTGGACACCGGGATACCTGTGCAGAGCTTTGCAAGTGATGGACAATGTGGCCTCGCTCCCAGGGGATATAAAGCTCTGCAAAGAAGCTGTAAGTGTAAAAGACAGTTTAGCATGGAATAGTTGTGCACAGTATAATGGCCTTGAGGGTCACACACAGCCCATGGAATCCTGAAGTATGACCCATGGACTCCCTGTCTTGGTAACTACAAAGTGGGGCCAAAGCTGACGCTCTGCAGGTTTCTGATGCATCTTTGACAGCAAGCAATGTCTGTTCAGTGGTGCTCAGCCTTTCCAGCCTGAGAGCCAGACATATTACAAGGTCATGAGGCCACAGTCAGTACTTAGGGACAGATTCTCTGCTCTGGAGCCAAGCCATCTGCTGAGGATTCCCCTGGTGTGAGAGAGTCCACAATGGGCACAAAGCCAGCAGAGCCTACTCCTGTGCCTCCCTTCTCACAGCCCACAGCTCAGGGGACTGGAAAGGGGAAATGGGTTGGAGTGCGCTGCATTCAGTGTATTCCCAATGGACTCGAAAGGACCATTGGCAGCTGGTGAAAATCTGAGCAGCCTGGGCGGGGGCATGGAATCAGGGAATCCTTAGCTAGTTGTTGGTTTTCAGCTTAATTTTTTTATACCCTCCCCTGGATGTCTGGCGGGGGGTGGGGGGTGGGGTGGTAACTTCCCTTTGCTAGGAGTTCCTCTAGGCTCAGGCAGAGCCAGCCAAGCTCCTGTCCAGTTCTCCCTAGTGCTCTCACAGCCTGACGGGGGAACTGGAGATGACAACCAGAGCACCACTTTACCTGCCCCTGCCATGTAGCAGGTGGCCAACTGGGGAGTTGCTGAGCAGCTTCTCAAAACACCCCACAGGCCCACCACAGAGCAGTTTCTAGGGCTGCAGAGGAAGCAGTGAGGAGGTGGGACTCAGTTTGAGGCTATTTTTGGAAATTATAGGGTGCAGCTTGAGGGATGCATTTCCAATTCCTAATTAAATACTTAATTTTCTTCTGAAATGTGAAATACTATTTAAAGATACAACTCAGAGCCCCAAGGACCACAGATGGCCCCTTGGCCACAGTTTGGACACCAGTGATCTGAGTCATTAAGGAATATAAAAATCCTAACAAACCCCACAAAGCACCAGTTATTGCGGTGTGTGCATTTGGTTTTGATTTTCAAGCCTTAAGGATGAAGCCTTGTAGGTCCTGGCAAGTCTGTTTGTTTAGATTTATAATCACACAGTAAATAAGCACCCATTCAGCCTGCTTTGGGCAATGACAACATGGCCCTTGGTGCCACAACCCTGAAACCAACTTTTGTCTCTGTTTATAGAAATTCAGATCTGATCTAGTCCCTTCTAAATTTGTGTTTCTTTTATCTGCATATGAAATAACAATCATGGCCTGATCTGGCAGACCCCTCTTTGTGCAAATTTTAATGAATGAACCATCAGGGTGATTATAAAAATTTTCAAGAGCACATAAGTGACTTAGGGTATGTCTACACTACGGAATAAGGTCGAATTTATAGAAGTCGGTTTTTTAGAAATCGGTTTTATAAATTCGAGTGTGTGTGTCCCCACAGAAAATGCTCTAAGTGCATTAAGTGCATTAACTCGGCGGAGCGCTTCCACAGTACCGAGGCAAGCGTCGACTTCCGGAGCGTTGCACTGTGGGTAGCTATCCCACAGTTCCCGCAGTCTCCGCTGCCCATTGGAATTCTGGGTTGAGATCCCAATGCCTGATGGGGCTAAAACATTGTCGCGGGTGGTTCTGGGTACATATCGTCAGCCTCCCGTTCCCTCCCTCCCCCCGTGAAAGCAAGGGCAGACAATCATTTCGCGCCTTTTTTTCCTGAGTTACCTGTGCAGACGCCATACCATGGCAAGCATGGAGCCCGCTCAGGTAACCGTCACCCTATGTCTCCTGGGTGCTGGCAGACGCGGTACGGCATTGCTACACAGTAGCAGCAACCCCTTGCCTTGTGGCAGCAGACGGTACAGTACGACTGGTAGCCGTCATCGTCATGTCTGAGGTGCTCCTGGTCGCCTCTGTGAGGTCGATCAGGAGCGCCTGGGCAGACATGGGCACAGGGACTAAATTTGGAGTGACTTGACCAGGTCATTCTCTTTAGTCCTGCAGTCAGTCCTATTGAACCGTCTTATGGTGAGCGGGCAGGCGATACGGACTGCTAGCAGTCGTGCTGTACCATCTTCTGCCAAGCAGTCATGAGATGTGGATGGCATGCAGTCCTTCTGCACCGTCTGCTGCCAGCCAAAGATGTAAAAGATAGATGGAGTGGGTCAAAACAAGAAATAGACCAGATTTGTTTTGTACTCATTTGCTTCCCCCCCCTCCCCTGTCTAGGGGACTCATTCTTCTAGATCACACTGCAGTCAAGGTGCAGCGAGGTAAATCTAGCCATGTATCAATCAGAGGCCAGGCTAACCTTCTTGCTCCAATAAGGACAATAACTTAGGTGCACCATTTCTTATTGGAACCCTCTGTGAAGTCCTGCCTGAAATACTCCTTGATGTAAAGCCACCCCCTTTGTTGATTTTAGCTCCCTGAAGCCAACCCTGTAAGCGCCCCTCCCAGCGTCAGAGCAATGGCAAACAATCGGGCATCTGAGAGTGCTGTCCAGAGCAGTCACAATGGAGCGCTCTGATGGGGCTAAAACATTGTCGCGGGTGGTTCTGGGTACGTGTCGTCAGGCCCCCGTTCCCTCCCTCCCTCCGTGAAAGCAAGGGCAGACAATCATTTCGCGCCTTTTTTCCTGAGTTACCTGTGCAGACGCCATACCACAGCAAGCATGGAGCCCGCTCAGGTAACCGTCACCCTATGTCTCCTGGGTGCTGGCAGACGCGGTACGGCTTTGCTGCACAGTAGCAGCAACCCCTTGCCTTCTGGCAGCAGACGGTGCAATACGATTGGTAGTCGTCCTCATCGTGTCCGAGGTGCTCCTGGCCGCGTCGGCTGGGAGCGCCTGGGCAGACATGGGCGCAGGGACTAAATTTGGAGTGACTTGACCAGGTCATTCTCTTTAGTCCTGCAGTCAGTCCTATTGAACCGTCTTATGGTGAGCAGGCAGGCGATACGGACTGCTAGCAGTCGTACTGTACCATCTTCTGCCAGGCAGGCAAGAGATGAGGATTGCTAGCAGTCGTATTGCACCATCTTCTGCCAGGCAGGCAAGAGATGGGGATGGCTAGCAGGCGTACTGTACCATCTTCTGCCGAGCAGCCATGAGATGTGGATGGCATGCAGTCCTTCTGCACCGTCTGCTGCCAGCCAAAGATGTAAAAGATAGATGGAGTGGGTCAAAACAAGAAATAGACCAGATTTGTTTTGTACTCATTTGCCTCCTCCCCTGTCTAGGGGACTCATTCCTCTAGGTCACACTGCAGTCACTCACAGAGAAGGTGCAGCGAGGTAAATCTAGCCATGTATCAATCAGAGGCCAGGCTAACCTCCTTGTTCCAATAACAACGATAACTTAGGTGCACCATTTCTTATTGGAACCCTCCGTGCAGTCCTGCCTGAAATACTCCTTGATGTACAGGCACCCCCTTTGTTGATTTTAGCTTCCTGAAGCCAACCCTGTAAGCCGTGTCGTCAGTCGCCCCTCCCTCCGTCAGAGCAACGGCAGACAATCGTTCCGCGCCTTTTTTCTGTGCGGACGCCATACCACGGCAAGCATGGAGCCCGCTCAGCTCACTTTGGCAATTAGGAGCACATTAACCACCACACGCATTATTCAGCAGTATATGCAGCACCAGAACATGGCAACGCGATACCGGGCGAGGAGGCGACGTCAGCGCGGTCCCGTGAGTGATCAGGACATGGACACAGATTTCTCTGAAAGCATGGGCCCTGACAATGCATGCATCATGGTGCTAATGGGGCAGGTTCATGCTGTGGAACGCCGATTCTGGGCTCGGGAAACAAGCACAGACTGGTGGGACCGCATAGTGTTGCAGGTCTGGGACGATTCCCAGTGGCTACGAAACTTTCGCATGCGTAAGGGCACTTTCATGGAACTTTGTGACTTGCTTTCCCCTGTCCTGAAGCGCATGAATACCAAGATGAGAGCAGCCCTCACAGTTGAGAAGCGAGTGGCGATAGCCCTGTGGAAGCTTGCAACGCCAGACAGCTACCGGTCAGTTGGGAATCAATTTGGAGTGGGCAAATCTACTGTGGGGGCTGCTGTGATGCAAGTAGCCCACGCAATCAAAGATCTGCTGATATCAAGGGTAGTGACCCTGGGAAATGTGCAGGTCATAGTGGATGGCTTTGCTGCAATGGGATTCCCTAACTGTGGTGGGGCTATAGATGGAACCCATATCCCTATCTTGGCACCGGAGCACCAAGCCGCCGAGTACATAAACCGCAAGGGGTACTTTTCGATAGTGCTGCAAGCTCTGGTGGATCACAAGGGACGTTTCACCAACATCAACGTGGGATGGCCGGGAAAGGTGCATGATGCTCGCATCTTCAGGAACTCTGGTCTGTTTCAAAAGCTGCAGGAAGGGACTTTATTCCCAGACCAGAAAATAACTGTTGGGGATGTTGAAATGCCTATATGTATCCTTGGGGACCCAGCCTACCCCTTAATGCCATGGCTCATGAAGCCGTACACAGGCAGCCTGGACAGTGGTCAGGAGCTGTTCAACTACAGGCTGAGCAAGTGCAGAATGGTGGTAGAATGTGCATTTGGACGTTTAAAGGCGCGCTGGCGCAGTTTATTGACTCGCTTAGACCTCAGCGAAACCAATATTCCCACTGTTATTACTGCTTGCTGTGTGCTCCACAATATCTGTGAGAGTAAGGGGGAGACGTTTATGGCGGGGTGGGAGGTTGAGGCAAATCGCCTAGCTGCTGGTTACGCGCAGCCAGACACCAGGGCGGTTAGAAGAGCACAGGAGGGCGCGGTACGCATCAGAGAAGCTTTGAAAAACAGTTTTATGACTGGCCAGGCTACGGTGTGAAAGTTCTGTTTGTTTCTCCTTGATGAACCCCCCCACCCCTTGGTTCACTCTACTTCCCTGTAAGCTAACCACCCTCCCCTCCTCCCTTTAATCATTGCTTGCAGAGCCAATAAAGTCATTGCTGCTTCACAGTCATGCATTCGTTATTCATTCATCACACAAATAGGGGGATGACTACCAAGGTATCCCAGGAGGGGTGGTGGAGGAGGGAAGGAAAATGCCACACAGCACTTTAAGCACAGCACTTTAAAATTTATTGAATGACAGCCTTCTTTTTTTTGGGCAATCCTCTGTGGGGGAGTGGCTGGTTGGCGGAGGCCTCCCCACCGCGTTCTTGGGCGTCTGGGTGTGGAGGCTATGGAACTTGGGGAGGAGGGCGGTTGGTTACAGAGGGGCTGGAGTGGCAGTCTGTGCTCCAGCTGCCTTTGCTGCAGCTCAACCATACACTGGAGCATACTGGTTTGGTCCTGCAGCAGCCTCAGCATTGAATCCTGCCTCCTCTCATCACGCTGCCGCCACCTTTGAGCTTCAGCCCTGTCTTCAGCCCGCCACTTACTCTCTTCAGCCCTCCACCTCTCCTCCCGGTCATTTTGTGCTTTCCTGCACTCTGACATTATTTGCCTCCACGCATTCGTCTGTGCTCTGTCAGTGTGGGAGGACAGCATGAGCTCGGAGAACATTTCATCGCGAGTGCGTTTTTTTTTTCTTTCTAAGCTTCACTAGCCTCTGGGAAGGAGAAGATCCTGTGATCATTGAAACACATGCAGCTGGTGGAGAAAAAAAAAGGGACAGCGGTATTTAAAAAGACACATTTTATAAAACAGTGGCTACACTCTTTCAGGGTAAACCTTGCTGTTAACATTACATACATAGCACATGTGCTTTCGTTACAAGGTCGCATTTTGCCTCCTCCCACCGCGTGATTTTGGTTGAATGCCAGCAAACATACACTGCAATGCTTTGTTCTACAGTGATTCCCCAGTACGTGTTGCTGGCCTGGAGTGGTAAAGTGTCCTACCATGAAGGACGAAATAAGGCTGCCCTCCCCAGAAACCTTTTGCAAAGGCAGAACCGCAAATGCCAGGGCAAAGTAATCCTTTCACATGCTTGCTTTTAAACCATGTATAGCATTTTAAAAGGTACACTCACCAGAGGTCCCTTCTCCGCCTGCTGAGTCCAGGAGGCAGCCTTGGGTGGGTTCGGGGGGTACTGGCTCCAGGTCTAGGGTGAGAAACAGTTCCTGGCTGTCGGGAAAACCGGTTTCTCCGCTTGCTTGCTGTGAGCTATCTACAACCTCCTCATCATCATCTTCTTCGTCCCCAAAACCTACTTCTGTATTGCCTCCATCTCCATTGAAGGAGTCAAACAACACGGCTGGGGTAGTGGTGGCTGAACCCCCTAAAATGGCATGCAGCTCATCATAGAAGCGGCATGTTTGGGGCTCTGACCCAGAGCGGCTGTTCGCCTCTCTGGTTTTCTGGTAGGCTTGCCTCAGCTCCTTCAGTTTCACGCGGCACTGCTTCGGGTCCCTGTTATGGCCTCTGTCCTTCATGCCCTGGGAGATTTTCAGAAAGGTTTTGGCATTTCGAAAACTGGAACGGAGTTCTGATAGCACGGATTCCTCTCCCCAAACAGCGATCAGATCCCGTACCTCCCGTTCAGTCCATGCTGGAGCTCTTTTGCGATTCTGGGACTCCATCATGGTCACCTCTGCTGATGAGCTCTGCATGGTCACCTGCAGCTTGCCACGCTGGCCAAACAGGAAATGAGATTCAAAAGTTCGCGGTTCTTTTCCTGTCTACCTGGCCAGTGCATCTGAGTTGAGAGCGCTGTCCAGAGCGGTCAGAATGGAGCACTCTGGGATAGCTCCCGGAGGCCAATACCATCGAATTGTGTCCACAGTACCCCAAATTCGAGCCGGCAACGTCGATTTAAGCGCTAATCCACTTGTCAGGGGTGGAGTAAGGAAATCGATTTTAAGAGCCCTTTAAGTCGAAATAAAGGGCTTCATTGTGTGGACGGGTGCAGGTTTAAATCGATTTAACGCTGCTAAATTCGACCTAAAGTCCTAGTGTAGACCAGGGCTTAGAACACGTCTACACTGCACTGTAGGTCCAGAGTTCAAACTCAGGCTCAAGCCTAACCCTCCTTCTGTCTACACAGAAATCACACTAACCCAGGATTCCACGAGCCTGAGTCAAGCTGGGATCCAGAGTTCAAGCCCTATTGCTTTGCAGTGTAGATGCAGCTCCACTGGATTCGTGTTGAGGGAGTCCATCAAAAGTATCCCACAAGCCAACTGTGTGTCCTCTGGACAGTCAATCTCAGTGGACAGTCAAATTTTCCCATACTACACTTCTAACAAAGAGCTAGAACAACGTCATTTTGGGAGGGTGTTAGGAAGTCTGGGAGGCTGAACTCAGGCCTGAATAATGTAGATGCTGGACCCAGGGTTCAGCAATTCCTAACCTGGGATTACATATGAGTGTAGCTGCTCAAGTCCTAGGTTAACAAACCAAGAGTCTGTTAATTGGAGTTCTATTAACCCTGGGTTTACATTGCAGGATAGACACACCCTTAGGTACTTTTGAAACTTCTACACCGAAGAGTTTTATCAAGTCTAAATTGCACCTTTTTTTGGTCAGACTGTAACAGAAATTAAAGTTGGTGCTGATTTTTAACCAGTCACAATCAGAGACACTCGTCTGTAGACTCATGACTAGTATCCTCAAGGGCTGAACTAGTAGAACCCATGAGGTATATGTAGTCACCACCAAGAAACTTCATTTCTGCTGAGGAGTAATTCCGCTCTCAGTTACCAGTGACTTATCTCCAAATCATTATCATAAACATGACACAAAACAGCAAAATATTGGGCCATATTCAAACCCAACTGAGCTATGCTGACTTACGTCAGCGGAGGATCTGGCCATCTCCGTTTAAAGGCTCATTTTAAGAGCTAGCTTCTTTTAGATATTTGTAATCATTATCTCTGAGTGAATGTAGCATCCATGAGAGAGAGAAACTAATAGCATTGACCAGATGAGACACTGGGGCTAGTCCTGCTGCTGTTGAAATCAGCAGCAAATCTTGAAGCGAGTCCACTGGAAGCTGGATCAAGTGCTGTAAAACCTTCTTTCCCACAGTGCCCTGGGGCTCCCTTGAATGAGACTGTCAGATATGCAGAATTATATTAATTGTGGGGTGGTTTGGGGATATCAGTAAATAGGGGCCATATCAAAACCACTAAATTCACCCACACTTCTGTGACCCCAGTTAGTACAGTTGTTTGAGAGATCCTCTAAACCATTCCACAACCTAGTCCCATGCATTTTTAGTGTGTGCAGGTATTTCTGGTTGGAGTTGTTTTGTTATCTAAAGAGAAACTTCAAAATAACCATCTCAATAGTATGACTTAATAAGTAAGTCATAAGCTACTGGTTCTATATTGTGGTCTGCTTTTACAAACTCTAGAGTGGTCTAGAAAGCTATTTAATTTCCTACTAAGGTTTAAAGCTTCCATTAATCTTTGACTAGCAAGGCCTTTGTTTCCCTGCTGAGCTTATTCTTCTAAGAACTCAGTGTCCTTTTTGTTATCATTATAAATACTGTAACTATTATTTGACTGCTGCTGTGCACAAAAAAGATACACATGCTCTTAACAAATCTCTGGATACTCTGAGGAATTCCATAAATGAGAGTACACATATTTCTAAGCATGCTTTTTTGTTCTTGCCACTTATCTCATCTTGTTGTTTCATTATTGGTAGTTTCAAGCTGGTTTATGGTCCCATTAGATTACCGTCTCAAGAAACAGCAACTGAGAAATGTTCTATTTCAAATAAGCTTGATGTTGGTTCATTAAGTGTTATACAAATGCAGACAGTAGGAAAATAATTTTTAAAAATAAACAAACTGCAGGCATCAAGATCACTTTTGCTCTGTGGAAAGTATCAGAGGCTTAGAATGTTCAGTGGTTATTTATAGATCCACTTCATCCTAGTGGCATGCCTGCAGAATCAGGATTCTCAGTAGGATAACAGCTCCTTGCATTTGTAACAGTTGAACCTGAAAAAAATTCAGACTAGACAGAACTTTAACTTGTTACAAAAACCTGAAATTTTCCCCAAATACCACAACAGCATCAAGATAGCAGTGCCATCCTTTGCATTGATCGTACATACAAAAATTGTTTATAGAGTTAGTTCATTAACCTAATGCATTCCTTTTGGTTCTGCTACAATTAGGTTATGAGACAGGGTAGTTCTCTCAGAGAGCCAAAGTACATCTAGCTGAAAGCAATCGGAAGAGAACCAGGAGCTCGCATAAATTAAAACCAAGTCTGTACCGTGGATGCTACGTGCCAATGTGTTTTCTTTCTGTTCCTCCTATTAAATTATCAAATTGCTGAATTAAAGATGTTTTTTCTGCCAGTTAAACAGATCATAAATTCCCAATGCACTTTAGCCAAAGATGAATTGAAATGTCCTGTGAAGATTCAATTACAGAAGCATTCCGAAATAGCTCCCAGTATATAAATGCTGTGGTATATTGTGTCTGTACTGTTTTCACCATGAAATATTTATAGCCAAAAATTGGAGTAGTGGCCGGGTGGGATTTTTCAGAAAGACCAAGCATTGGCCTAACTCTGCTCCTAATGAAGTCAGTGGTAGTTTTACCATCGACTTGAATGGGAACAGAGTTTCAACGCTTATGAAAATCCCAAACTTAACACTCCCAAACATATTAGACCGCATTAATTCTTGAAACAGTGAATCATGTTCCTTGTGGAATTGTTCAACTTATAGTACAGCCATCTCAAAATCAATGTTTATATTTAGAACACCTTCATGAAATGATGTTGGATTGTGTTTGCAAACTACATGGTAACAATTCTGATTTCTTGTTCAGATTGATATTCTGGAGACGATTTTGCAGTCTGTCCCTGAGGTAAAAACTGAGGCAGAACCATCAGAAGAAGTCAAGGTATCAGAACACAAGCCAAAGCAAATAGAATCTGAAGAAACAGAGCAGTCTAAACTGCCTGAGTACCTTACCCAATTTAAAGTAAGATTTTCTTTTTTACCGTTTTAACCAAGCTATAGTAGGTTTCCACTATGTACAGCAGCAAGTAAATGTTTTCCTTTTATGTTTTCCTTTTACGCTGATGGACTGATACCCCCACCTGCATCAGTAAAGCTAGCTGGCATATTTAAAACTGACACTGAATTACATTTTTACTGCCCCAAACAGGAAATTGCTTTCAAAGAAACAAATGCTCAAGGCCACTTGTCTATTTTGTCTGTCTGCTGGGATTTTATCTTCTCTTTTCATAACGTCAGACTGATAAATCAAAATCCTGTTAGCTAAAATGGTGTGTCATTACAGATCCATTATTTGACCATATGTGGGCTCTTGCTTGTTAAAACAAATGCCGTTGGTCTGACATTGTCCAGGATTTGTTGCCAATTAGGTATGTTATCATTAGAAGCTATAACAGTCATATTTAACTTCAGTCTAGGAAGTTACATGCCCACCCCCTTTTTTGGTCTTTAAACTACTACTAATGTGCCCAGTATAAATTATTAGACCGGTGTGCACAAGGAAGATTCACATACACATATTAAGGCTGTGTGGATTTTTTTTGAATTTAAAGTGTATGAAATCATATGCAAACGTATTGCAGATTTGGGCTTCTGTCAGGTTACCCTCAGTCTGGCAATGTCTGGGCAAACCCTTGCCTTAACACTACTCACAGGTAGTAGAGTTTCTCCTTTTGCTCAGATGATATTGGCTTGTGTTTTTCCAGCTGAAAGTGGTTAGCTCTGTTGTTCATACTGTTTGTATAGAGGTAGCTGATGACAATGGTGTCTCTGTGCTACGCTTTCATTCCATGTTTACTCCAAGAAATTACTAGGACTGTTTGTTTCATGCTTGGGCTTGCTCTGCCTGGCTTTTCCACACATGCTTTTGGATTCATTTCTGCGCTTTGTATTCAAAGGGGCTGTTTTTGGAAACAGCATAAATAATCCTTTGCAGACTGGCTAACAAGGAAGATGTTCGGCAGAGTGCCTCCTTAGAGGTGCTAAGTGCCCCTCCATCTTTGCTAAAGAGACTGAGAGTAGAGGATACTCACCATCTTCCAGGATCAAGCCCTTAGAGCAGGGGTGGGCAAACTCTTTAGCCTGAGGGCCACGTCGGCTTTCCAAAATTGTATGGAGGGCCGGTTCGGGAAGGCTGTGCCTCCCCAAACAGCCAGGCATGGCCCTGCCCCCGACCCCTATCCAAACCCCCATTTCCCTGGCCCCTGATGGCCCACCTGGGTCTCCTGCCCCATCCACCACCCCCTACTCCCTGTCCTGTGACCGCCCCGGACCCTCCACCTCTGACTGTCCCCCACCACCCCATCCAACCCCTCCTCTCATTCCTGACTGCCCCATCCAACCACCCCTTCTCCCTGTCTCCTGACTGGCTCCGGAACCCCTGCCGTTGACTGCCCCCCACTGCTCCATCCAACCCCCCCTCTCCTTCCTGACTGCCCTCCAGGGACTCCTGCCCCCATTCAATCCTCCTGTTTCCCGCCCTCTGACTGCCCCGACCCCTACCCACACCCCCAGCCCCTGACCACCCCCTCGAACTTCCCTGCCCTCTATCCAACCCCCCCCTGCTCCCTGCCCCCTTACCACGCTGCCTGGAGCCCTGGTGGCTGGCGGGGCTACAGCTCCACCACCATGCAGCACAGAGCACTGGGGCAGGCCGGGCTCTGCAGCTGCGCTGCCCCAGGAGCTCACCTCACCGCCCAGAGCATTGCACCGGCAGCGCAGTGAGCTGAGGCTGCGGGGGAGGGGGAATAGCAGGGGAAGGGCCGGGGGGTGAGCCTCCCGGGCCAGGAGCTCAGGGGCCGGGCAGGAGGGTCCCACGGGCCGGATGTGGCCCGCAGTGCGTAGTTTGTCCACCTCTGTCTTAGAGTTATAATTTAGACTGTATCTGACATTGTCCTGTAATAATTACCTGTCCTCAGCTACCACACCAAGGCCTACAGTTCAGTACAACTTTCCTCTAGTAACTCTTTCCAGCTGTTTAAATGATCAGTGGGCAGGGCTTTCATTACATAAAGGCTCTACAGACAGCTCATGCGAGGCACCAACCAACACACAAACCATTCTGTCTAAAAGCAACGTTCCTTTTTGGACTGTCTGCATGTGGAGCCTAGGGGAATTGCTTTAAAAAAAACAAATCAATGATTTAGCTATTTACAAATGCCTTCTGGCATCTACAGTCTGTTATTTTCCTAAATGAGTTTCATTTCTGTATTAGAGTATTTCCGGACAGTCCAAGAGTTCAGTTGTTATAGGTGACGGAAGATCATCTAGTTCCTCATTCTTTTGCATTTCTTTTTGTTTAATGTCTTGACATGTGGGTGTCCCTCTCCTCATCTCTCTGTACTCCCCTCCTCCTGGTATGCAGTAGGAAAAGTTTTGGAGTGATTTTTAAACAAAAAAAGACTAATTTGGCAGTGTGAAAGTAGCTGTCAGGAATGCCATCCCCCACAACTAGATACATAGTAACTCGTCACATTTCTCACTGACATGCCAGTATGTTTATTAACAATATTTCAAACAAAATAGGAGAGCTGTATGTCCAGATATGAGCATGCATTTGCATGGTCTGGTGACTTCAAAGCAATTCTTGATCTTTTGTCACATCAGAGTTTTACAGAATCCGCTATCTCAACCATTTTAAAAAATTCCCATCGGTCCAGAGTATGTAGCGTTCAACCCCACTCCCCTCCCCCGCAGCGTCCATCAAGGGCAGGCAGTCTAAGAAGTGCAAAGGCTGCTAAAGGAACACTGTAGTCTTCTGGGCACTGCAGAGCTGAGCTCCATGGCAACTCTCCCTGCAAGAGATGAGGGGGGAAAGATTTTGAGCAGACAAAGGAGAAGAAGGAATGTGGTCAGTGGGTCTGCGAAATATATAGAACACAGTACGGGTTGGGACATGGGCTTTAGCTTGCAACAGGAGCTCTAGCCCAGCTGTCCAGGTGCCCCATGTGTGCCTTCTTGTTTGGGAGTGAATTACACACAGACACTGCAAAGCCCTTATTCAGGCTTCGTGCAAGGGGCTATGGTAGAAACATAGCTGCACATTCTGAAGAGGAGACACTATTTCATGCATCTCCTAGTAGAGGTCAACTCTATGAAATAGATATTAGAATTTTATTTCGACCACCACAGTGTGAGAAAATGTGATCCTTTCAGAAGAGTGAGCAAAGGGTAAATAACTGCTTTTTAAGCTGCTTGATGCCATGTCATCTTCCTCCACCAGGAAGAACCCCTCCCCCTATTCTCTGGAAGGTTGCACTGACAATGGCATTTTACTACCTTAATGATGCAATATCATCCTATACCGTAAGCTTCCAGAAAGCCACAAATGGCCTTGTTGAATGATCTAAGTCTTGAAGCACTTAAGCAAATTAATATTTGTGTGCTTCATCAGGGTACTCCACAAGAAATACTGCACAGTCAATATATAACAAAGCTCAGAAGAAAAATACTGCGTGGCTTCCTGACCAAGCTCTGCTGTTAACGACACTGGTGTAACCGAGCATAGAGTCCGTCTCTGAATAAACAGCGCTAAAGCAAGAACTATTGCAAAGTCTGTGTAAGCATAGCTGAGCTTCAGATCTCAGTAGTTGGAAAACGTCTGTAATGGCATTCGATAGTTCGCAATGGCTGCAAGGACTCATGGGAGCTATTTAGTATGACATTACTAGGAGACTATTTAAATGATTTGCATCTGTTGAAAGGGATTCTAATAGAGGCAATCCAAGGCAAATCCTTATATATCTGTGGCTTAAAAATACCAGTGAGGTGTTTAGTTTACGTTTGTCTTAGTTGGCTGGTCATCTATCATTTGATACATAAGAGTTTTATTTATGGTGTTTCTCTTTAGTTTTGTGAGTTAGTCAACTCCAGCACTTAACTGAATTAAAAATTGATTGTCTCAGCTTGGTTATTGCCAAATGAAAACTAATTTAGATGTTGTGTATTTGGGAAGGATGGCAAAAATGGACAGTTACTGCAGTGAAATCACTTTGCCAAGATAAATGTATAAGTTAAATTATCCCCTAAGAATGGCACAGTCAACAGTTAAATAAAAACAGCCATTTTTTTCAGGCCAGGAAATAATGTGGACATTTTGGGACTGACTGGATTTTTTTTTAAAACCCTTTTTTATGACAGGATCTGTATTCAAAACTGCATTCGCTTGGCAAGGTTGAATCTGAAAGCCTGTTGACCCTGACCACCCAACTTACCAAGGAAAAGCTGCCGGCATGTGAAGTGGAAGACATTGCAAAATATGAGCAGAAGCTAAAAGAATGGGAGCGGGAGCAAGCACTTCTGATGGAGAGAGAAAAAGAGATGAGAGAGAAGGCTAAGCAGGAGCAAGCAGCTAGGGAATTCGCTAAAGCATCTGTTTAATATTGCAACTCAGAGACTGCTGTTATGCTACATATTCTTCTGGTAATAAACTTAAGCACATGTCATTATTAATACTGCAATGCAACCTCGCTGTAAATGTGACATTTGTGGTATGCAAATTAAACTAACTGATCGTTTCCATCCATTTTGCCTGTTTCCTGGAGTACATGTGCAGTTTAAAAATTATGATCCTGCCTAGAATGAACTCTCCTTACAGGGGGTAGAAGGAGAATGAGTATGTGAGGCGGGTGTGGGGAGCTCATGGCTAAGGCAGAAACACAGTGAAGCAAAAAGGAGCTTGTCATTTGTATAGGGCTTTGACACTGGAGCAAGTTTGAAAAAAATAAAATAAAATCCAAAACACTTATGGCTTGTCCAATCTTTTCTCCCCTGTGCTTTGTTTTTGTTAAGAGCATGTGGATCATCTCCAGGAGAGAAAGGAAAACCTGTGGCTACTTTAAACCTGAGAACCATCAGGATTAATATTTTAATCACCCAGCAACTCCTGTTTGGAAAAATTGGGCCACTAAATATAGACTTAGTAGCCTAACTTGAGGCACCTTTTTTTTGCACATCTTAGCCTCTATGTTTACTATTTGTACAGGTACTATAAATAAATTGTTAGCCCCCTCCAGCTTCACTAGCCCCCCTCTGCCCCACCACCAAGATCAGTGAAAAGGCACTTCCAACCACACCAGGAAAGGTGCCAGGGAGTACCTCATGCTGTGTGCCCGCTTCCCCTCAGTTTCTGGGCACCACTGCCCCCTTTTTAGTCGCAGTTCTTCCCTGGCCTCAGCTGCTCCTCACACACTGGTGCCAGTCTTTGAGTGGGTTAATAAGCAGATAGTGGGGCATGTTGTGAGCATAGAGCAGAAAAAGATTAGGGCCGAGGGAATCATGGCAGACAGGGACTCTCCTAAGATAGGGCTGGGTCAGGACTCTTGTCTACTTATGCTCCCCTCACTGTAGTAGCTGAGCACCTACTGCCAGAGAACCTCCTTCCTTCGTGGCAGGGCAGGAGTTGCCCCTTTAGAAATAGGGAATCCCAGGTGAGGGGGTGTGTCGGGGCTTGGTAGAACACAACAATCTACCATAGCATTTACAGCTGACTATTTTTTAACAGTGTTTGAGAAGTATCTTCTGCTTTAGCCTGCAGTTGTCTATTGTTGTGGACATAAAACTCCTGTCGTGAAGTCAGCATGATTGAGAATCTAAAAAACATGCTTCAGATGTCTGTGCAGTGAAATTTTAAATGCGCAGAGGGTTCTAAGTAAGGTGTATATTGAAAATTAAACTCTTTCCATTCCCAGTGCATCGGCTCAGATTCAGCCCTGGCTTCTCTCTCAGTTTCAATAAGATCGTAATAAGGTCACTCACCTAGTCTTGGCATCAAGTTGCAGAGCCACGCCTCCATTTCCCCTCACTGAAGACAATCTTTCCCAAGTTGGTAGATGATCTGGAGTTTTGCCCCATGGCCAAACCAATGAGTCTTTCTTGTCCCAGGCAAGATAAAAACCAAACAGTCCCTCACTCTCCTGGGCTGAGTCCTTTTCCTTAGTTAGCAGATTGACACTAGTATGTGTCCCTCCTTGGGACAAGTCTTTCTTCCTGGCTGCAGGAAAGCAAAGGAGCCAGGGAGCCTTCTCCCAACCCCTTCTGGAAGCTCCAGACTGAGACTCCTTAAGAGCAGTGGCACAGACCAGGCCTCAGGCCTGCACCGCCACACCCATTTCAGACCAAACAGTCCTGCTCCCCACAGGTTTTAATCTTCATAAAAAAAACCCCAACCCTTCACTCCTCAGCACAGGGCCCACTGCCCCTTGGGTCTGGGGCTCGCAAATAGTCCCTTATCCCTGGACTTCTTCCACAGCCTCTTGGTAGACAGCTACATTTACCACCCACACTAGCTCAACCACCTCCCCTTCCTTGAGCTGCTTTCCCGGCCCCTTGACTGTCCTAGCCATCCCTCTAGGCCTAGGCTCTGCCCTATACCGCTGTGAGAAGACACAACGTCCCAATGGTTTGAGCCCTAGGCAGCTGTTATAGTCCTGCCATCTCATGACTGTCATGTGACCAGCACCACCCCCCCCAGGCACTGTAACAGCAGGACAGAGGCCATGCTCAAGGCCATGTTGCTGCTGAGCTGGGTCACAAGGGATGCTGCCAGACGTCTCCCTGGTTCTCCAGCTACTACTGCCTGCCCACTGGCAGTACATGGGGCCTGCCATGCTTAGGGTTGCCAACTTTCTAATCGCACAAAACCAAACACCCTGGCCACCCCCCCACCCTGCCCTTTTTCTGAGGCTCCTGCTCACGCCATCTCCCCTCGCTCTGTTGGGCACTTGCCCACACCCTCACTCCCATGCTCATTTTCACTGGGCTGGGGCAGGAGGTTGGGGTACGGGAGGGGGTGAGAGCGCTGGCTGTGGGTGCGGGCTCTGGGGTGGGGCTAGAAATGAGGGGTTCAGGGAGTGGGAGAGGTTACCAGGTGGGTGAGGGATTTGGGGTGCAGGAAGGGACTCCAGGCTGGGAGGTGGAGCTGAGGGGTTTGGCATGTGGCTCCAGGCTGAGGCAGAGGGTTGGAGTGTGGTAGCAGGTATGGGCTCTGGGCTGGGGGGTGTGGGCTCCAGGATGGGGGCCAGAAATGAGGGGATGTGGGAGGGGGCTCCGGGCTGGGGCAGGGATGTGGGCGGGGTTTTCGGGTGTGGGCTCCAGGTGGCATTTACCTCGGGGGCTCCCCTGAAGCTACATGTCCTTCAGCTCCTAGGTGGGAGCTCTGCATGCTGCCTCTGCCCACAGGTGCTGCCCCCGCAGCTCCATTGGCCGTGGTTCCTGGCCAATGGAAGCTGCAGAGCCGGCGCTTGGGGTGGGGGCAGCGCGCTGAGATCCTCTGGCCGCACCTCCGCCTAGGAGCCAAGGGACACGTCGCCACTTCTGGGGAGCTGCACGGACCCAGGTAGGGCGCTTGCCTGCCCCACCCACTGGACTTTTAACAGCCCGGTCAGCAATGCTGACCGGAGATGCCGGGGTCCCTTTTCAATCAGGCACTCCAGTTGATAACCGGCCACCTGGCAAGCCTTGCTGTGCTCCTTTCCTGCTTCAGTGCTGGCTCCTCTAGTCTCAGGTATGCTCCCTGTGACATTGCACCCCATAATGCTTTATAGAAATATGCTTATGAGTGTAAATATGACATAACTGGAATATGTTTTATGCTAGATATGCCATGTAACATTGCAAAGGTTGTGTTCTTCTGTATGTATTCATCCTATTCATATACATGTATTATTTTCATATCTGAAGTTATGAACATTGGCTTTATGCTTGTATGCTCTATGTTGCCCAATTTGGGCTGTTTTGGACTATGGTCCACAGTCCTGGAGCCATCACAGGGAATGATGCCCTGAGGACAGCCCCTCTCTTCTATAATGAGGGAGCTCCCACTTGAGCACATTTGCCAACTGTAGTTGTGGCAGTAAGGCCTGGCGGAAGATGGTCCCTCGCAAAGGAAGGGCCAACACCATTTAGGGCTTTAGCAGTCATAACCAACCACTTAATCGCCATCTGGAGCCCCATGTTTCCACCAATCCACACCCATATATATCTCCTCCCAGTCCCACACTGACTCAACAACCCCCTCCTGCCAGCCACAATCGCCTCACCCAAGGAATCCCCCATGCTTCCCCCAATCTCTTCTGTTACCACCAAAACCCTGTATTGACATTCTAACAACCCCACTCACGTTTAGTCCAGCTCTCCCAACCCAGTGAGCCCATCAATCTCTCTCACACTAAGTAGCAACCAGCACCTGCCAACCCCGCATGCCTCTAATCCCAGTAACCCCCTTGTCATCCTCAAATCAGTGTCACATCCATCTCTTCCCCAATCCCTCAGCAACCTCTCCTGCCAACTTCAGTGCCCCCAACCCACAGACCCCCGCCATGTTTTTCCCCAAACCAGTGCCCCCCACATTTCCTCAACCCAACAATCTCCCTTTATGCTCCCCCCCCACCTCCTATCGCCCTCAGTCTCTATCCCCAGCTCCCAAGGCCTTATCACTATCTCTGATGTACCACCTGCTCCGTGAATTACAGCACAGAGAATCTAAAACTCAGAAGCTTTACGGCTAAAAGCTGCAGCCTGCCTAAATGTCTCATCCCTTCTCTTGGAAATAGCAATCAGGATCTGTTCTAGGAAATAAATATTTTTGACACATTCTACAATTTCACAAAGGATCCCCCGCTTCTGTCTATTTTCTCCCATCCCTCGTACAGTGGGCAAACTGTGAGGAGGAATAAAAAAAATTCAGAGATCTAAGGATAGTTACATTCAGAGGTCCGTTCAATGCAGCGTGAAGTGAGTCCTCTTGATAGATGGCTCAAGTTCCAGAGGTCCAATAACTGCCATTGTGTAACGCTAGCAAGGAAGATGAGTATCAGCAGCCACTTACTCTATTTGGCACTTGCTTCCCTAGGTTAAGATTTACTTCCTCCTACTCCTCGCTCATGTCCCATATGATAGATTTTGCAGTCAGTTTTTTAGCATCTGGATACGTAATCTCTAATAACATCATCAGGAGTTTTGCCTGCTCAACAATGGCAAAATAAGATATTTTGGCCCAGGTTTTCAAATGGTCTCACCTCAGCCTTCATCTGTGTGTACAAACATTTGTATGCTCCATGTCTGATAATGGCCATGTACCTGCAGCTGACAGCACCTACAAGTGGAATCTATGCAAGGGATAAAATGGGTTTTGTGTATGCAAATTTTACCAGCTACTCCTGCTTAAAAAGTGGGCCTGGTCAACTCAAGGCTGCTTTTTAAAAAATACAGCCCTGGGTGCACTTTATGAATATGAAGTTTGTTAATTTAATTAATTCAGCGCCTCTTCAGTTACAAATGGTCACATAGTGGTCACATTGTAGTCAGCTCTTCCCCAGTGATAAAATGAAGTTCTCAAGTTGACCACCTCATTTCAATGCTTCAAAAATCTCAGTGCTCCAGGCTGCCCCATTTGAATAACATTCTATAGAAGCTACTGCGAGTGGGTTAGAAGGCTGAAAACAGTTTTTTAATGAAGCCAGACCTATGTCTTTCTTGGCAGTAATTGTAAATATATAGGTATAAGAACAGGTAAGTAATTGTAACTGCCGCTTACCTATTCAAGGGACACCATCATAGGACCTAATCACATCAGCCACACTATCAGAGGCTCGTTCACCTGCACATCTACCAATGTGATCTATGCCATCATGCCAGCAATGCCCCTCTGCCATGTACATTGGCCAAACCAGACAGTCTCTACACAAAAGAATAAATGGACACAAATCAGACGTCAAGAATGATAACATTCAAAAACCAGTCGG